GAGAACCCCCAGGACTCCACAGTTCAACCCTGAGCTACACATATTCGCTTCTATTGGTACACTCAAAATTCCCTGCATTATAGCAGAATGGAATGGAATGGAATGGAATGGAATGGAATGGAATGGAATGGAATGGAATGGGACAAATCAGTCTTCCTCAGCCAGCATACCCATCATATGATAGAGTTCAATTCCCAGAATTCCCTAGCTAGGTCAGGAAAGGCTAAACAAAAGTGTTGTTGCAGCAAGGAAAAATTAGACTTTGGAAATTCCTACTTGTACAAGAGCTATGTTACATCACAACAGACCTCCAGATTGGCCCTAGTCAGATTCTTATGCAATTGACACATGTTCTATGATCTAATCTAGATTTCCTAGAAGGCTGGTCATTTCTTCCTCTTTCCAGGCTTATCTATTTCAGATGTTTTTGAGATACTGTATGAAACTCAACCAAAAGATAGTGTACATAAATAAAACAGACAAGATCTATGGAGAACTTTGAGTCAAAACATTAAGCAGTTCGCAAAGGTGATTTTCCAATAATGGTGGATGTGCTAAAAATAATGGGAGGAAAGTTTGATGTTCCTCAATTATTCAAGCTGGTTAAACCAAACTTGTAAGGAAAGAATCAGAGTGTGAATGAAGGCATTAAGGATAGAGCAGACAGACTAGAAGAAAGAAATGGATAACTAGTCAAGAAGGAATATAAACCATAACTGCTGAAGTTCTTCAAATCTTCCTATTTAGATGAATAGAGTAGATTTGTTTGAAGTATCATACAAGGGTCAACAGCCCTCTTAAAAGCACTGTGGGAGACTGGTAGTCTCTCCCACATATTTCTCTATATGTGAAAAAGGGAAAGCAAAGTAGTCATTTTTTTTCTGCAGACACACTAGCATTCTTTGGATATTAATACTGTGTGTGCATGTGTGTGTATTTGTAGAGGATATATGGTATGCACACTCCATTCTTGACCTTTCTTCATGTAGCCAGGAATCTGTTGATTATATAAAGCACTGTGTCAGTAGAATTTCTCCAAAACTGTCCAATATAAGTCCACATACCAATTTATAAATGCCTATTTATGACCTGATTCAATACCTATTTAATGTTGTAGTTATATGCTTTAGTTCAAAAGCAGCCGATGCTCTGATTGGCCATATTGCCATATATAAACTCTGCTTTTCCAGATCTCAGTCCAGATCATGGCATCAAATTGGACCAAACTGTATTCACAGCAATCCAGACAAGATTGGGACATTTCTGGATCAAAGTCCCAGGATTAAATTGAATAGTTTCCATACAGCCACAAGGGGTTGGCTTACCTTCACCCAGAGGGAACACGTTCCAGGATAAAGTGGCCAGCAAATGGAGCAAAAATAAACTGAAATTTATTTATTTATT